TTGTTTGGATAGTATTAGCAAGACTCACTTGCTACAAAGTTTCTTGCAAAACTTTCACTTGTATGAAAATTCACAGAAAACAAAACAAAAAAACCCAGTGATTTTTGTAGTTTCCATTCAACATCGTCATGAAGTTTTTTGCAGTATTTGCCCAACTATACAAATAGTTAAGTTCTGTGGGCTATTTTATTTAATCTTTATTCATTTCTATAATAGCATCTGTCTGTTTAACACAAGATAATAAGAGCACCACTTGCATCACTTTCATTAAGGATGTTTCAATGTTTCCATTAGAAACTTGTATTTTTGTGAGGTAAATACTGTACTACATCCAAAGAAATTCACTCTTAGCTAAAATTAAGCCTACAAGATCAGAAACTGACCACTTTTTTTTTTTAAACCATACAAAAAGTTTGGCCATTCCTAAGTGCTAAATGAATACAGAAGTTAATAGTTTCTGATGCTCTTTGAATTCATATATTAAAACTAGCTCAGTTTCCGCTACTCTTGACATTTTCTTGCTTAGTTTGCTATATCCTTCATTAATGATTGGTTACTTTAGCATGGGAGTTTATAGCAAGTCAATTATTTTGGTTTAAGAAACTAGCTACTGTACAGACACAATGGCTAAATATGGATAGGAGCCCCTGTTTTATTTTATATAACTCAAATAGTAATAAATAGATTTGTAAGTATTTTGAGTATAGACTAAAAACATAGTACAGCCTTAAAATGACTTCAGAAAAGTTGTTTTCTATCATATTTGTAATATAGAATAAACAATAGGCTGTAATGAGTCCATACATGATTCACATTTTACAGAGGGGCGTAAATATGCCTTAAACAAGCAAACTCTCTTTAATTTCAACCTTTGATTCAGTAGCTGACTCCAAAGGGTCTAGTGTGGGGACACTTAATTAAATGTGCAGAATCTAGCCCAAAAACTCCTTATGAAAGAGTAGTTTCTGTTTATGGACATTAGCTGCTTTGTAAAGCTAAATATCACAGTCAGTTCCTTCTTTAAAATAGCATGCAAAGTTCTGGCTGACAAATATAATAATGACCTTCCCATCTGCATTTTTAAAAATTAAAACCATTTTAATGTTAGACAAGAAAATAATAATTGAAAACCAAAGGTTTGATTATTTTTGTATTCCATAATATTACAGTGGCCAAATCTATTCAAACCAAATACAGGAAGACAGAAAACGGAAAAGCTTATTAAACGCAAATATCTGCTTACAGCAAGTTTTACGGATGACTTGTAAAGAAAAGAAAATATATAGATATATTAATAGAAATGTGGAGAAACCCTTAAGCACAGTGGTAGCAGTGCTCATTGTGATGGCATATGGAAAACTTAATCCTTTTACTGGAAATGTTTGAACATAACTGTAAAAATCCTTTCTGTTTCTTTGGTCCGAACTCGACCCAAATTTTCTTTAATTCAATTTTTTTTTTTTTTTTAAGGTTTGGGGTGGGCAAACCCTGACACTTTTTTTTTTTCAGCTAATTCCTTCCTTTGACATAATTCCCACTGGACACAGTGAGCAAGGACTGTATAATTATTATAGGATTTAGCTCTTCCCTGGTGAATACGGTGTCATATATGTCATTTTGGAGATCAGCCAAAAAGAAGATGCCAGAACTCTAAGCTGTAGTCACTCACTTGCAACAGTCTGGGTCAAAATGTAACAGGAAAAAACCACCCATGAACAAAACAAAGAAGCTCTGAAGTTGTAGGTTATATGATCAGATTATTAAAAAAGCTCTGTAGTTTATTTTGGTGAGGTTTTATTCTTTGTCTTCTGGACCAACCCTGTTAACGCTTCTGTTACAATCATCAATATTTATGGTGAGTTGCCAATATGCTCAGCATTGTATAAAACATAGGAGAATACGTAGTCCGTGCCCTGTCTATATCGTTTGAAAAAGAAGGGGTCATAATACTGGTGTAAGCAGCATGTGCTTACAGTTTTAATTTTAGACAAGATAAATACATTAATTTTTTGCTCCTGGTTGCTTGAGGGAACTTCGTATAACTTCAATTCCCTGGGTTGCATTTTTAAAATGTATTTTAAAAGGTGAGAAGTTTAGAACTCCATTCTGACAGGTAGATTTTTATTGAAATTAGCATGTAAGTGCTGTTTTTGTTCTTCAGTAGAAAGTGATTTGTCCTTCACTGATTTTTATTTTCCCCCAGTTTCATTTGTAATTTATTGTGTTTCCCATAAGGATGATTTTATTTTTGTAGCTCATACCTAATAAGACTTCTCCAGCAGGATACTTACACATTTGTTGTTTTACCATATGTGCTTTAAGTAATTATAAATTGGCAATACAATGGTTTAAATTTAAAATGCCAGGATGATTAATCTGCTTTGGAAGCAGTATTGACCATATTACTACTGGCATATAATTAATTAAATACATTTTATCAGTGCAATCTAGGATTACAAAGATTTACTAATTTGATAAATGTTGCTCAATGCTTCAAATCTAAAATGACTTGTGTTCTTTTACTAACAATACCTCAATTTGTATTGATTTTACCGTAGAGTGTTAGCATTAATTTATCAATGCATATTTTCCCCATTATATGTTAACATAGCTTGCTCTCATCTGTCGGGATCTTAAATCATACCAAATGGTTACCTGCTTCAATGACTTATTTAGTCATACGTTATTATGCTAAAACATGGGCTCATTTAATAAAAATGTTAAAGCTAATCTATATTAGTCATCAATATTTATTATGAATGTTACATAGTGAAGCTTGCTATACACCACAATTACACAGAATGCACACTGTGGAAGGGCATTCAAACTGATTTAGGGTTAAGCCTAATTTAGGTTTAAAATACATTTTAATGGCTTATAGATACCAAACAAAACCTGGAATTTATATAGTATTCTTGAGATTTTAATCATGTCTAATTACTGTAACCACTAGAAAACTCTCACTCCAAGTTTTCAGTTAAAAAATGTAAGACAAAGCATATAATGTTATTTTGAAGGTATTTTTTTTAAAAGGAACATGGACCTCAGGCCAGAATGAGAAGCAGAAATATTAAGACACGTAGACAAGATTTGCATTCACCTGAATGGGAGTTTTGCCTGTGTAAGCACTGCAGAATCTGGCCAGTCCAGTCTTGATCCCAATCCTGCAAAGACTTATGCACGTATTTAATATTTCATCCTGTAAGAAGTCCTATTAAAATCATCAGGCTTACTCAAAGGGTCAGATCCTCAGACACTGTAGATGGATGTAGCTCAATTGACTTTAATGGAACTGTACCAATTTACACTAGCTGAGGATGTGACCACAGTGTACTAAGTTAAATACATATGTAAACTTTTGTAGGATTGGATACTTGACTATTGCTTAGGAGATCATAGAGTTTCCTTTTTTTTTTTTTTTTAATATTGGAATTTTAACTTCAAATGCTGTAGAGTACTTTTTCTGAGTTGTATCATGTTGCCAATAATTTTTAAACTAATAAGCAGATAATATAGAAGTATAATATTTAGAAAAACTCTGGAAAGGAACTGACCTTTTAAAAAAATAAGTTTTATTCTGTTCAACTTGTTGACTTCTGGGAACAAAAAATGTAATTAAATTAATTTATTAATTGTATTTGGAGTTGCAGATATATGTTGCTGTTTTTGTAAAAAAAAAGTTTTGAAAATTGAGCACACTAACCTGCCAACTAATTAGTGAGATGTAATTTTATTATTATGGCAACTGAACTCTAGGGTGTCATTTTCCTACAAATTCTGGTAGCTAAGAAGGTTAGTGATTAGAGACATGTTTAATCCTGCTGCAGGTTTTAGTAACCTGGAAGACAAAAAAAGCTTATCACACATTTTAATGTGTATTTCAGAACATGGGCCAATATTTAAAAAGTTACCATAATAACTATTACTCTGGAAAGCAAGAGAGTTTATCACATCTTTTACAGCACTTGTAGAAAACTTTCAGGTTTTCATTTACACTCTTTTGCTACTAAAGTCAAATTAGAAGTTGTATAAATAGTGCTGTCAGCCTTGCAGCATATTCCTTTTTCACTTTTAGAGATTGTAAAAATAGTGAGTAAATTAAATGAATTGTTTGCAACATTCTTAATGAAATTTAAGTTGCCTATTCTAGTTAAGAAATGTGCAATTGATGTTTTGTTTGAATTATGTAATGCTTCATAACTGGTAAACATGTTGCTACTCAAGATCAAATATAATTGGGTTTCATCCATATACCTTAATTAACATACACTTTCAAAAGTCCTGGAACTGTTCTTTTTGACTTGTTTCTGGTATGAAATATTATAAGTATTATTTATGTTATAAATAAACATACAAAAGACCTAACCCAAGTTTCAGGCACCCTGACAAAACACTAAAAATACAATCCTTTTTATAAAATAGAAATAACAAAAAATCAGCAGCAGATGCCACAAAATCCAGCCATCCAGCTGAAAAGATAACAAAAATTTGACATTTACCAACAGAAAAAAATAAACAAAAAAAACCTTCTCTTGTTAGAAACGGTTCGATTCCCCACCCTCTTAACATTCTAGCCTTTAAAATATTAACATCTGATGTTTATTTATGTTTGAGCTTTACATAAAACGGAGGGGGAAAATAACCCACCAATACACATACGTGTTTAATTTTTTTTTTTTTTTTTTTTTAAAAAAAATGGAGCTGGCCTAAGGCTAGCACTTTCATTACATCAATGAAAGAAGGAAAACAGAAGCCAGGCGAGGGGAGTTATAGAAACTGACTTGATATAAACAGTGAGAAAAACCTTTTTCCATGGCCACCTACAATGTAGCTACATTACCATTAGTACAACTTCTATTTTATTAGTAGTACAACTTCTAGGGCCCAATCCTGTTTTGTATATACAGGTTAATCTCCCATTGGGAGATTTGCCTCTGTATAAACTACAGGATCAGGGTGCTAGTTTGTCAAACAGAGCAGAAAAAAATGTTTAGACATACCTAAATTGACAAAGCTCATGACCATGTCGGCATCATTCAGAAAGTTGGTATCACGAAGGCTGGCTAAGGGAGGACTCTGTGTGGTCAGGGGGGTCATGCGAGATAATTGTATTCTCCGTGAGTATCCATTTGGAGATGCGGAGTATCCTTTTCTTACCCCTCTGCTCTCTCCTCCCATTGATTCCCTCAGTGAATACTCCAGTTCCTCAGTATCCTCTTCATTTGTCATGGCATTGTACAGGTCCAGCATGAAGAGGGGTGCAGAAGAAGCCTGCTTTCCAGGTGAAAATGGTCTGGGTCTGTGAGGTAAACCCAAGATAGAGAGAATCTCTCTCTGGATCTCCCTTCTTTCATGGTTCCGCAGCCTCCTGTAAATAAAACTTGAATGGACATGATTGTCTCCCAAGCCTCCCTGTGCATGACCCACTAGAACCCAGCAATTCCAGAGCAAGCCCAGGAAAGCTTTGAGTGCCATTAGGTTCATTGTTGAAAAGAAAAAGAACAAAAATATTTCTCCTGCTTATTCTGAGCTCCTATAAGGTCTGCTTTACCAGTGGCTGAAAAACAAAATTTACCTATTCTTCATGTCAATGTCATCTCTAAACATAACATCTTTGGTGATTCTCCCCTGCCCGCCGTTTAAATATTATGGAATGTGTCAGGTTGCAGTTATTTCTAAGAAAGCTGAAATTCAGACTTCCAATTTTCCACTGTTGTTATCGTTTTTTCTGCATTTATGGAGCAGAAGACCAGTATTTTGTCAGCTGACCTAGGCATTCCTATTAAAAACCTTAGATAACCAGGTCTTTAGTTCAGGGTTGTGTTACCAAGAGCTGATCTTCTGATACACTGTAGTTGCCAGAGTTATCTTCTCTTGTTATTCTGAGATCTTCTCACACCTTGCGCTCTTTCCAAGATAAAGTCCTGAGTCACAGATTTGTCTCGATCTGTACCTTGGTAGTATAATTTATATTTGTCCAGCAGCCTGGTGATAACTTTAACATCTTTTGAATCACCTTAGTATAAACTAATTCTAAAGCATGTACTAATCTAATTCATATGTTTCCCTGAATTTACTTAAAAAAACTTCTGTAAATCCATTCAACCCCAGTCAGTTTCTTAACTGTTATTTCCAACTCTAGCAGGCACAAATATAACAGCTCTCTTCAACAGAGATCTAAAGACTAATGTAAGCACAACCCTGCTGGGAAAGAAGAGGCTTCTCATTGTAATTTGAAACGGGCAAAGCAAAAAAGTCCTTAACCCTTCTGCTGCCAGACAAAGCTTCACCCCCCCAGAACCCCAATGTACAGTAATATATGTAAATTGGCTACATACCTATTTTGACATTTACAAACAGCTTCTAGAAAACCCCAGCTCTATCATTTAACTTTACTTTAACTATACGTCCTAAATTTGTTTATGCTTATAATATAAATCTTTGAGTCTGCAAATTAGAAAATTTGAATATGACACACTCAATCACATGACATATTAAACTAGGATCTCATTCGGAGAAGTGTTTATATTTTAAGATGCTTACGTAAATAGAGATTACCTTTTAAAAAAAAAAACCTGTAGGATAATTTATCAATTAAAGCTCAATTTATTTCTCTGTTTAGCTGAAAATTAACAGAAGGCAATCTAAATTAAAGTCAGCAAGCAATATATTCAAAAGGCACATAGTTAATGGTATAATTATACATTATTGCGAATTACAAATTACAACCTATGTAATCATTTGTTTAAAGTGTATTTTGTATAATAAATGACTGTACTGCATTTCCTAGTAAAAGTCCAAAACTGAGATTTAAACTCATAGCCTGCTACTAATAAACTATTTCTCCAATTTAGTATAACTGGCTAGATAGCTAAACAGTTACTCACAAATGCTTTACTTGAAATTATGGTTCTCGTCTCAATTTTATTAAGGCCTGCACCTTGGATTTTCATATAATTTACACAAAAATCATAGTGTTGTGTATCTCTATTGCTTAAAATTACTTGCAGCCAGTAACCTGCTTCTTAAAATTTGGTTTAAGCATTAGGGAAATTTCCCTTGATGAGGATACAACTGGAGAGTGAAATGGGGGCAAGAAGAAATAGGACCAAAAAAATGAAAAAAGTTACTGAAATGCCGGACATCAAAGGAAAAACAGGTTCCTAAATTGCCTTCAGGCAGCTTTCACTCATGTGACCAGCACCTACTCAGCAGATGATCATAGTTCTCAGTGAACTTACGAGCATTATAGAAATGATATTCTCACCCTAATGAGCCACTCATGAACAATTTCTCTAGTACAGTAGGCACAAACAAGCTTTTCTCATACGTTCTAGTCCATATTCTGCCCTTGGGGCCCAATTCAACTCCCATTAAAGTATATTGCACACTTTCCATTAAATCAAGGACCCATTCAAGGCAACCCCAGGCACCCCCACTGAGTTCAGTAGGGTTTACGGACATTGCCACGGGAAGGATTTATCCTATAATGGGACTGCTACAATTAACACCGAAGTTGATGACAAAATTTTTAGTCCTTTATGGGAGAATGATCAGGACCCTACTGAGGTCTTTTTCCATTTATTTTCCCTCAGCAACCATTTGCTGTGTCCGCTATAAAGTAAATCTCAGTTTGCATTAAAGTTTGAGCTCCCATTTGTCCTATTCACAGGGGCATAATGGTGCCTAGGATGTTATTGTAGACCTGGCCCCATTATCTCTCTCGTAAACTTGCTTATTTCTCTTTTCCTCCAAAATGTCCCCATTTTTCTCTAGAGAGACAATCTTTTATAAGACCAACTTCTGTTGGTGAAAAACACAAGCTTTCAAGTTTACACAGAGCTCTTCTTCTGAGTAAGCACAACAGCTTGTCACTTTCACCAACAGAAGTTGATTCAATATATTCATTCATCTTGTCTAATATCCTGGGACCAACATTGCTACATCATTTTTTCCCCTCTAAGCATTCATAAAAGGTCTTGGACGGATTGCCCTGGAGACTTGAGTGAGACAATGTAGGAAGTTTGTACTGCTGCCTGCTGCCCCTTAGACAAGCTGAAGGCTAAAGTGCCTCAAGCACAAACCCAGTCAGTCAGTCTTTGGTTTCTCTCCTGAGAGTGCCCACTAATGTTCTCAGTGGTGAGGGTGCTTTTTAATTATGTAAATAGCTGTCTGATAGGAATCAGAATAATCATATAAACCACTAATCATACAGCTGATGGTGACAATTTCAGTCACTATCAAACTAAGTCAGAAGCAAACACTTGATCTACATATGAAAGGTTACCTACTCTGAGCCAGCAAGTCCACTTGACTAGAACTTTTAAAGAAAAGCCTTTAATTTTTATCAGAACAAACACAACATCCTTCCATAACAAGTTCATGTTCTACGACAACAGACATTTACCACAGATATCTCACACATGGGGTGCCAGAACCCTTCAGCTCCAAAAATTAAAGGCTCTATTAGTTAGCTAAAGGAAATCTCCTGCAGCAGTTAAGGTAGAAAAGGTCCTTTCCTTATATCTTCTGTAGGTGGATTGGCTAGCAAATGGAGACATCACACACAAATCTAGTATACTGGTGTCTTTTATTGGCAAGTCTTCTTCTTAGTGTATGCACAACATGCCTCAAGTGGCACATGACCAGGATTCATCACCGAATTTGGTCCGCTGGCTGGATTATTAGCTTGCCCGGGCTGGGTACTGACAGGGAGTGCGACGTGAATGCTGATCCATGCCCACCAAGTTTTGACTACTGATGAAACAAGAAGTGATGTTTGGATCTGGATTGGGTTGAGGTGAGGATTCAGGTTCAACATCAAATTAGAGCTAGGATTCATATTTTATGACAACATAATCTTGTGAGCTGTTTGCATGAGATTTCAGTTTAAAAGTAATGGAAACTGTATGAAACCAACTAATTTCATAAGATTTTAGCTGCGTTCAAATCAGAATAGGAAACTAGGCCCCTGGTGGTTTTGTATCTGATCCAGAACCAAAACTGCAGCAGTGTGTTTGAATCCAAAATTCAGATTACTTTGGATTTGAGGTTCCAGTTTTGGCTCTCTCTAAAATCAACAATCCTCATTCTGAAATATAAAGATGCACAGTTTGATCATCTTTCATCCCCAGGGGTTCAACTTGGAATTTACATAGGAGAGCATGTAAGCAATCTCTCTCCAGACCTTGCAAATAGCAACATTAGCATCATCGGTGTGTTCAGATCACACTACAGCTTGGATGACATTAAGAAAAAATAATAAATCCTGGGAATCCCTGTGTTCAGGAAATAGCCATTCACAGATTCAGGATACTTGGCCGTAGCATTTCAACAAGTGAAAATTCTTAACTCTGCGGCGAGTTACTGAAGTCATTGGATATGTCATTGTTTTTACGTGAGGACACTGTTTGGTGCTTAGAAATATAGGCAGCCGGTGGCTGCCAAGAGGAGCACTCTTCTGGATTCTGTATATCACATTGGCTTACAGGAACAGATCATAGCAATGGTTCTCTATAAACAACTGTGTTTTGCCACATATAAAATAGAGGAAATCATGGTCCCTTTCCCACATGTTTAAAATTTATGTCAGACACAGAGAATACAGCTCAGAGCCCAATCATCCTGTCTATTCTATGCATGCAACCAATGGGATAGATCCAGCGTCCAGATCTGTATCATACATAAAATGAAGGTCCAACCTTAAAGCAGTGCAAGTTTACTCTTTGTTGGTATACTTGTTCTCTCTCATGAGTTGGGGTTAAAAAAGGAAGAAGAGACTTTTATGGAGAGATTTCACTACCCAGGGGGAAAACATCTGAAGAACAAGGAGAGGGTGAGATTTCCAAGTACAAGAGGCAGCATGGAAGGAAGCCTGGCATATATATTAAGCGTATTTAGAGATAGCATGTCTGCCACACTCTTACTGGGATAGGATCATTCCATAAAGTGCATAGAGTATCATCAAACTGAAAAATGCATGTGTGTTACACCACCACCACCACTAAACTTGGACCTACTTGCAATGGCAAGGAGAGGTTGAATTGCAGGTTCCTGTGTTGGACATGTTAGACAGCTCAGGAATAAAATCCACATAACTGCTTTCAATTGGATCTCAACAGAAATGGGTAGTGTGTGTTAAGTTGTATTTTTACTTACTGTACAAATGAAACAACTGCTCTGCATAGGACTGCACTTGAGCTATGCATGGAACTCTGAAAGGGAATTCTGCTGGCAGAGGAGAGAATATGATCTATGTTGGAATTCTTAATTATATTTAATGAGTCAGAATAAATTGCTGGGATATTGCTGAAATTAACTGCTGGAGACAAGTGAAGCAACATACAATTAAATGCAGCATACCCATATAAACATTGTTCATTCGGGAGGATTCCAAAGCATTTAAGAGTTACATATAGTGGATAGGTATAACTTTATCTGCCACTACATCACAGCAGGAAGAGGAGGATACCATATTAAATTTTAACCACAAGGGAAATTTAGAGTAGGCTTTGGCCTTGAAATGTTACCAGGAGATATTTCTGCTAATATCCGTATTGTTATGAGTACCATCATGGAATCAATAAGAACCACAAGTAGAAAGGACCTCTATGTCTTGTTTTATTCAGATGAATGCATTGCACCACAGTGCCCACTACATAGAGGCATTGGTTCAATACTGACTCATAGCTGAGTGCCACCAACTCAGTCACCAACACAACTTCCTAAAGGAACTTACGTTTTCTCTACAGGTTTCTCATCCAATTCTTATAAAATTCAGACAAGTTCACAGCCCTGCCTAGGTGGTATGTCTTCAGGCATTTTATAGAAAGCATATAACAGAATAAGTCGTCTTTGTTTCAATCTACAGGCAAAGAAGGACCTCTAGCTTAAAATACAATAATCTGTGAGAGTTGTTCTATGTAGAGCTCCATGCACTATGCTGTAAAAGCCATCAGCATGGTATTGTCTCTATTATAAAAAACACCACAATATTTTTAAAGTTTCAGAAGAGTCAGAAAATTTTTTGCAATGTATAAAATGAGCCTTTTTAATCATATTTTGTTTGACGATTAAAAAAAAATGGAAGCTTTCTTTCACAAATATTCTTTGCAATACTTGAACCACAGAACATACAATTAATAAAACGATCTATCATCCAAGCA